TCTAATAATTTTATTTTGATAAAGTCTCACAGTGTTATACACTTATATTTACTGATGACGTTTCGAGCACAATTTATTGCCACTCACAATCATATCAAGCCACTCACACAACTTTCTAACTTCATTTATATAATTCCACCATTTTTCATCGCTTGACTTGATTGGTAGTAGCATTTTCCATATTTCCAGTGTGAGTGATGAGTCACTTCTATTGCACGTGTTGGGTGTAGACTCGATGAACAAGGATTCACTAATCCACCTCCCTCCCTCTCTCTACCTACCTATATTACTTACTTCCTAGAATTCTAACCCTCTCCCATCCCATTGTGTGGTTGTGCGGTAATGCATGCAGTGCAACCACTGAGCTCTTTTCTAAATTACTTATCTTCGCGGGGTCAACCATTCTTACCTTAGCTAAATTCTTATGTACCGACAATATGACTCTCCCCGACCTACTAGTTTGACCTGTGTAGTTGACTTAACTCACAGTCATTGCAAGGTACTTTGTAGATAATATTATTTCGTCTAATTGGGTCAACCTACAGGGTTCTTTAACCTACAGAACTTGTCCTACCTGATTGAGTTTGTAGGTTTAAATGCCACCATTCTAATTCCTGATTTATTAAGAATCCTATGTAGGGTCTCAGATGTTTCCACATTATATGGTATAACAGTAGATGCCTTATATTCTCTCTTATTTGTGTTATCATTATTAGTTTCCCGATTATTTTTATTTTGCTTTTGACCTTTTCTGATCTCCCTAATGAATTTTATAGGATAGTTATTTAACACCAACGCTTCTTCTATCTGTTTTACTTACTTACTCACTTAGGTCATTTTTTGTAGTACTCAGTGCTACTTCTCGGTTTGTTAGACACTTAAGAAAGTCTGCCTCTACAGATAACGGATGAGATGAATTAAAGTCTAAATATCTGCTAGAGTGCGTTGGTTTTTTATAAACGCTGGTGTGCAGTTTGCCTTCTTCTATTAGTTTTATTTTGCAATCTAAACTAGCTAATTCTGCTTGTTCACTTTCCGATCCAAAGGTGAACTATTAAAATAAATAAGCCAGGCTACTTCATACGACCAATAGTAGATTTCAGGAATAAAATTATAAACTATCAAAACACTTAGGTCTAAAATTATGCCCATGAGAAATCGTCTAAAGCCCAGGCTAACTATGAAATGAAAAAGAAACTAAATTACATTCAACTAGACAATAGCGAAACAATGGTTAGTTCTGATATAACTAGTCTTTATACTAATATACCCATCAGTATGGCCTCAGAAGCAGTTAAAAGAGAACTAACTGCAAAAGCCGTGACGAGCAGGTTACAACAAGTTGAAGGTGAGGCAGTAATTCATCAAAGAAGACACTGCGAAGTGATCACGCTATGTCATGAATGGGAAGAAGTTAGAATTCACGCACTGGCCGTTGGGTCAGGTCCCAGTGGCTGGATGATCTACGAGCTCACTTTGTAACTAGAAGGTCATGGGTCCGAAACTTGACGGCGGGTGCGTGCTGATGATAGGTCCCAAACTAGGACGAAACAGCTTTCCAGTACTCCCAATCGGTTTGCTAATGTTTCTGTAACTCATGTCAGCCCATGATGAAATCCTCCAACCAATCAAACAAAATCCCTACAACAACCAATAGTTGTAAATTACGTTATTTTTGTTAATTAAAAGTTTACAATTCTAATGATAAATCTTTGAAGTAATCATTTTGGTTGCTAAGAAAATTAACCATATATACGCGATTGTACAACTTGAGAATGGTACCACCGAAAAGAGTAAGTCTTCGCTGAACGTCTTTTCTTTTATATGAAATGTAAGTATTGCATGCAGTAGTATTTATTCACTTAACGACTTATACCTAAAAACATTTCATGAACCCAAACCCTTTTTAAATGTGAATTTTTTTCAAGCGAATAAGCAACTGATAGAAGTGACCAAAAGTTAATTAGGCAATGTTAGCTGGCTAACTCAATGTGCCACTCCGATTGCCTAAAAAGACTAGGAAAAACGCTCTTAACTCTTCGGTTTTCAGCTAGATTCTCTTTCTAAAGAACCATAAATTCTCTACATAATTTCCACTATATATTTTATGTAATCATCCTAGGAAAGACAATCAAATAGTTTTACTTTATTTTCAATATATTACTTGTGTTTATATCAGGATGAACAAATAAAAGTTACCTATTTCATAAGGTTAACCTAATTAAATTATAAACCTCAGTGTACTGATGCGTAGATATCAGTCAGCACTACAGAATGATGTTTTACACTGGTCGTCTTCGTTCGACTTGTCCGTATGCATCTCCCTCCCAGTCATACAGACAGGTGAAATGGCTTTTCTTAAAAGTAAACTTTCCCAATAAGACGGGATAAAGGTGCTACCAGTGTCAAACCGAGATACACGATCACTGCTACTCGCTGGGTTACATACAAATTATTTGTGTTGCTAGTTGAGATATTTTAACAGTAATAAAACAAACAGTCAACGCAGCTGCAGTGTTACTGCTGATGACCTTTTTATTAGGTAAAAATGACCGTTAAACGTTATATATATATATATATATATATATATATATATATATATATATATATATATACGCGCATCAAGCGTGCATATAGTTAAGCATCGATTTGCACTATAGCAAGACAATAATGGTTTAATGTAGACAGCTGATTGAATTACCCTGACCTAAACCTACAACTTTTTCAGGTTGTATTTATTTATTTCTTAAAAACCTCACAAATTATTTATTCTACACATGAATATCGAAATAAGCGATGTGAAAATTTGAATATTTTAATAACAGTGCCTTAGTAGAGTTAAATGTAAGAGTGATTAGACACTTGAATTTAAACAGTAACACGCATCTGACTTGGTAATTTTTTAACAACAAGTCCGTACAGATATAACAGTTCTGCAATGAAAAGATTTTAGTCTAAAGACTTTGAAGGTAAATTCTTTGAAATCAGCATCAGATGTTGCCGAACTAAAATCTTTGAAAGAGAATGAGTTTTTTGGGCAGATTAGTAGAAACAAACTCAGCTTATTTACTTCAGGCTTATAGGAGGGAGAAGTTAAGAATAGAGTAAGTTTCACATTTTAATACTTGTCTTATATATATTTATATCTTTAATATGGGTATAGGTAGACTAAAGCGTTAATATGCAGTGAACTAGAATTGACTTAATCAAATATGAACATCGTATTACTCGTATTTCTGTGTGGTGCTGTGGTTAGTATCTGGGAATGAATTTGTGAAGAAAAGATACAAGACACGTTACAAGAACTATAACTGACTGACAAGTCATGACAGAACTTTGCACTGAAGTGTATCAGTCCAACTATCAGTTGTATTATATAGGAATTAGTCATAGTTTGCTGAAGCACCAGTTAAAAAAAAAGCGTCAGTAGGTATTAATGCATACAGACAAGTGTGAACATCGATTGAAGTACAAAAGGTAGAAATCTAAGATGGAGGGGATGAATACAAGAAGTAAAATAAATTTTTCAAAAGACTGACATTCACCCTCTCCAATATTCAATTGGCTAGTGAAGCCTTATTCAATTTTTACAAGCACTTCTACTACAAATACCGAAATGAAAAAAAACCACAGCCACCACAATAATTCTTGCTTGCACGGAAATACTCAAAACTGACTATTACTTTCCGTAATATGTGCAACCAGGAATGACAATAAATGCTCTACGAATAAACAGGCTATCAGAAAAAAGGTAACACCAGTGAAATTATCCTCCTATACTACTACTATACCTTATTCGCTAACCAAATGTTTATTCGCAAACAAAGCTACCGCTGCACAGAACTTCGGCATAACCATTGTTATCCATAAACAACACGCAAAATTAGTTCTATCTAACTAAATTTAAAATATAATATAAACAGTATAAATTCTGCTAATAGGCAATATTTCTTTCAATTAAGAACGTGAAATTCATCTAATAGGAATGGATCACATCAGAATATCGATAACTAAACCACTTAAAGTGTTATTTTGTCTAGTTCTGAACGCCTATCTACTACTATTTATTGTTAATGAAATATTAAACGAAATGAAAGCTCTTTAATATGAGGTGAATCAGCTACAGTGTCAATTTATATATCTAAGGGTTAAACACATGATTTAAATGTGACACTGTCTTTCCATACTAACTTGTTTATTAGATATATCATACTGTGAAATAGTATTATTTACTGAACGACAAATCAAAAATAAAATAAATAAAGTTTTGAGCGCAATTTATTATTGTTTATAATTATACCACTTATAACTACACAACTTCTTTACTCATCCCCATCTGTCGTAGGAGTAGTAGAATTTTCCAGTTGTTCGGAACAAGTGTTGATTCATTTCAGTTACACGTATACTTCTATCAACACGTAATTCAGTTGATTCGATAAATAAATCTTCCGTTATCAATCTCTCCCTTCATCTTGTTACATTAGGTTTTAAAACTGTCATCCTATCCCATCCTATTGTATGGATGTGTGTTATTGCATGTAGTGCTATAGCTGAACTATTCTCCAGATTTCTTATCTTACTAAGGTCAACTAATCCAAATTTTGCTAGATTTTTGTGCTCCGCCAGTCTGACTAGTGGTCCTACTACTTTGACCTGACAATCAGTGCAGGGTGGTAGGTAAACTAAACTGTTTTGTTTGATTGGCTCTAAAGGATCCCTTAACCGAAAAAGCTTGTTTCTAAGTGAGTTTGTGGGTTCGGGCGCCACTTTTATTCCTGCATTGTTAAGGATTCTATGTAAGGTTTCCTGGCTCTTTCTTTTTATGGAAGTACTAATGATGATTTAAATTCCTTACTGTCAGTATTGTCACCATCCTGGTCATATTTGTCATGCATGTCGCCATTACATTGTCTTCCAAAAAGCAGATTACTTTATACTTGTGGGATACCAACATATAGAAGATATACATACAATATTATCTAAATTTACGAATAGCTTACCTTCACTGAAGAGGGATCTGTAACCACAGAATCACCCATATTTGGATCGGGTCTCCAGATCTCATTTGGAGTAGTATTTGTCTCTTTTGTTACGGAGGCATCTTTCAAAAGATTCAATGAAGGATTTAACAAATTATTATCTGCGTTTGCTAGGTTGCCTTTATTAGCAACATCTTCACCGTTAGCGACAGAGTTACCATCACTTTGTGTTCCAATAATCCTGTTGTTTTTCATTCTAACAGATGTCATAGACGAATCAACATTTCCCGTGTCCGATGATTTCATTGTTGCGGTCGCTGTTGTTGTCATCAGTGTTGTGGTAGGTTTAGTTTGACAAGTGTCTTGAACATTTAAGGGAGTACCTAAAGCATGCCAACTGGCGCCTCGATCATGTGTGATGACTGTGTATAGCGTACGATCTGGATTTAAACGTGTAGCCAAATATGTGCCACGCATTGATGCAACACGATAGAAGTCTGTCACAGGTGCATGATTCGGATATAAATGGTGTCTAAGAGATTCACTGAATACCGTGCCAGTAATATCCGATATAAATAACGCTCCGTAACCAGTATCTACAATAGGAGTATAAAAGTGGGGTATTATTTTCGAAGTAAGGAAAGAACTGACATGATATCGCAACAATGAACCCAAAAAAATATCTTTGAATAATCGTATCGTTTCCATACAACAATCAACCTTCTAGACAACTGAAAGCTGACAAACATGAACAGATTTAATGGAAGCAATTGACCAGGGAAAAATTCACCAATTCAAACGATAAGAAGCTGTATTAGCTAAGGAGAGCATGAGATAAGGAAAAATAAAGTGAAAGGGTCAATCATACATACTGTATGCTTCAGATTCAGTGGTTAAGAAAATATGTAAGTGATATCGAATCTACGTTTTCGTAACAACCAGATTCATCAATCAGTAGACAGAAATATTACGTGGTGTAAATTTAAATGTCATAGGAATTCACAGGGTTGCTAACTAACTGGATTGATAACCTGGTCTATTAAATTATGTACCGGATGGTTAAATGTGAGTATAAGAAAGCTTTCACTTCAAACTTAACATTTGTCAGCATCCATTAGCAACATATTTGTGCATCCCATAAGGAGTTGAATATGAGTCATTAATCACAACAGAATGTAGTTTTCGGTTTATGAGATATATTTAAAATACCTTTGAAAAAATTGTAAGTATTTGTACTAGCAGTGTTGCAGTTAATGTACAGTTGAATCCTCAAAAAAGATGCTGTATACTAGTGACTGGTTGATATGAGTGGTTTAATACCACTCACAACAACCAGTAGCGCCTGATAGCCAGATGTAAGTGATCTAAGCACTAGACTGCTGTTTCGCTCACTCGGGGCTGACATTATCATTAGTGTACATGGTCCTAATCAGTTCAGAAAACCCAATCAGTTTAAGGATTCTATATCCCGAGAAAAGTCAAGAAACGAAAGCACATGACAGATTAGCGAACCATGAATTTCCTTTAATATACAAACTTTTATAAACTATCTACATCATCAATTCTTAAAAGTCAGACATGTTTATATAAATTTCGTTCTGTTTTTTCTGAAAATTATGATATTTAGAAGCATATAAATGGACTATATGAATATAACTAATATGGGATAAGAATAGGCTACATGACAGGATAAACGCTTCATTTTTTGTGTGAATATATGCCTTATCTGTTTTGTTTAGAATACTATGTACAGTGAAATATTAAGCACAATAATCTCAATATTAATAATAAGTCCAATAAGTTACCAGTAGCCTTAACATCTCCCAACAGGTAACAACTATCCATCATAAAGAGAAAGTTAATGATTAACAGTAGTGACAGAAGAAGGACTGTAGAATTCATAAGTAAGTTAGACAAACCATATTTCAGTTGAAGAGCAAAAGCACACACAGAACAGGAAAGAATGGTAGAAATAAATTAAATACTGATTAGGGCAAAGAAGTAAGATGAGAGATATGAGAAGTAACTATATATATATAGCCATGTCAAACTTTAAGCACCAGTAAGTGCCAGCGGAGTGCCACTGCACCAATGATCTTGAAACGCTGAGGGAGCAAGTTAGTGAACCCTGGTAAATAATATTGTAATAGAATATACTTACTAAGTGTTACGTCATTAAATGGGATATCTGGCAATTTCCAGGTTAGTTTTGAGAAAGATTAAGTCAAGGTTTAGGCTAACCTGGTGAGGGCAACTTAAGGGTTGGTTAGCGTTAGATTAGGGATATTTTCACGTTAGGTTTAGGTTAAGAAAAGATAAGTGTTATTTTTAGGGTTAGAAGACCCAGGTAATTACATGCATAGAATGTAGTTGGGGGTTACTGGGAAGCATTGATTGTAACTCATTCTGGTATTTCAAAGAAGTAGCAGGTGCTACTAGTTTGCTCACATCAACGTTTAGACGATGCCTTTTATGAACCCCACCAAATTGCAAGACGAACTTGGCACACATTAATGCATGATCGGAGTCCAGGCATGTGCTTTAGAAGGTGCGACAGTCTTGTATGCATCCTCACCACCGGAAGCTGACAGCGATATGATCAATTTGAGTCCAAGCTTGATTCGCCCAGGGAGGACACCGGGTAGCACTACGGCGATGGCTGTGCCGGAATTTGGTGCTGGCTAGAAATAGGTTGTGATCCGCGCAAAGCTGCAGAAGACGGTCCCCATTATCTCACCTGCGACCATGTAGTCCCCATTGATCACTTAGACGATTCTTCTCTGAGCTTAGACGCCCCACCTGTGCATTCAAGTCCCCAGCCAGCACTACGATATCCCTCCGACCCGCCTGTTTCAAGAGATCGCTAAGTTGGTGGCAGAACTCATCCTTCATTGCATCCGGGCTGCAATCCGTCGGTGCATAGGCAGAGACAACAAATAGACACCACCTATCTGGCCTACTACTCCTTACTTTCGTCTAACCTTCCAGCCGCATAGCACATAAACGACTGTTAATGGGAAGCCAGTCGAGTAATGCAGCCTCGGCTCTAGCACTCAGTGCGACACCGACACCAGCTACGCCGGATGCCGACACCACAGGGTCCCCAGACAAGCGCAGGTGGTACATACTACTAGAACTTCCAGATGGAGAGGATAGTCGAAGCCCTTCACTGGGATCTTGCATGCGGGTCACAGTAAGGTTCATTTAGAACAAAACATGAAGATATAGAAGAAAAAAAATAATCAATTTTCTCAATAATTACGATCCTATTAAACTTTTATCCGACGCTGTTGTTTATTTTGTTATTATTACATTTTAATTCCTATTGGCAATCTTATTAATTTGACTCTTGACCGAAAATAGTTCTGAAACTCTCGTACCCAGTAAATAATACTGTTTCATTGTGTGTGTGATATCTAATAAGCAGATTAATATGGAATTAAAATAAGTATAATTTAGGCAGGAAATTAAAATCATTAGTCATGAATACATACTTATTCACTCCTGAGGAACGACTAGAAGATATCGTCTGTAGGACAGGAAAAATTCAGAGAGTATTTAAGAACAGATGGGTGCCGAAAACATGTCAGATCCAACGCACCCTAAAGGAAGTACAAATCAGAACATTCCTTCAGATGATGGGCAGATTGTTGAGAGAAATAACACGTCAAACTTGTGTATGATGTTGTGCTTATTTTCAAACTATTCACATAAATATTATGACCGCAGTTATTTAAATTTCACCAAGAGTCTGTGTTGTTTCTCACTAGTTTTCTATTCTTATTTATTCAGTTGGACAACAGACAGATATTTATTCAAACTTATAAACAACTGAAATGAAAATCACCCAAAGAAAAGTCAAATTAAAAAATATATTTTATAGAAGTGAGGCTGACAAAACAGTGACTTCCAGATGAGTTAATCAAAGATTAGTTTTATTAGAAGTTAGTCTGTAGATCCGAAAGAATTCAAAATGAGTTAAAAGGTATATGTTACAAATAGCGAATTAGGTTACAAAGAAAGAATTCTCATAACAGACAACAGAACAAAACACTAGATGCCTAAACATTTCAAATAATTCCATGGCTTCTTCTTGCATTTCAGAGTTATTATTATTCCCTTGGGTTCCGAAGGGAATATACGGCTTCACCAATACGTCTCCACTTTGTTCTATTTTCTGCTGTCTTCTTCAGCTGCGTCCAAGATTACCCATAATCTTTCATCTCCTCCTCGCCACACACACACACCATCTCTTCTATTTCACCCTCGTAAAACGTTCCACTCTTCGTTTTCCATTCACATTCCATTCGAGCGATGACCTGGCGCGCGACGTCATTCGACGGCCTCCTCCTCAAAGTATGCCCTAATCCATCTCCATTTTCTCTTACATATCTGTTGAGCGGTCAGCTCTTGGTTGGTTTGTTCATTGCCAGAGTTTCTTGCTGCTAACTCTTCCTGGTTTCCCCATTTGATCTTCAGTGTACAGCCGGCGAGGGTAGAGCTGTTGTTAAAAGTCTGTCTGTCACCTGTTGGAAATCCTTTTCGTGAGGCAAACAAAGTTTCTGGCCCATATAAAAGAACCGATTTCACATTTGTGTTGAAAATCCGAACCTCATTCTTAGTGTCGCAGAGTGAAGAAGATTTCCAAACTGATTTCAGATTGTGATGAAGATGCACCTTGTCTCTTCAATTCTTGATAGCCTTGACATCTTCATCTGTGCTGTCGCCTGTGGTTGAAACTCTGCTTCGTAGATAAGTGAAGCAAAACCCCCTTCAAATTTCTTCCATTAATGGAGATTAGTGCTGTTTGTTGTTGCTATTGCATGGTCATCTTCATCACCTCCGTCTTCTCTATGTTCACTTGGAGTCCTGTCTTCGCTGCTTATTTAGCTAGTTTGTTAGTTTTCGCCTGCAAGTCTTCGAGTTTGTGTGACACTAGACACATATCATCTGCAAAATCCAGATCTTCTAGAACCCTCTTATCGGTCCAACGTATTTATGTCTTATTTGAAAGGTGAAAACAATGAAATGAAACAATCAAAACATGATTGTTCTACCAATCATTCACAGTAATAATAAAATTCCTTGTAGGAGATTATTAGAACTGTTTACTGAAAAAGAAATCACCTTTATTAAAACAAAGAGAGATCAGACAACCTTTGAATATTTTGATATATGTTACCTTTGTCTGAAGCTTTGGTATTTCCCACTATCTTTACATTTCTTCTATTTCAAGATAAACACAGTATTTTACTTTCTACCCACTTGTCCTTGAATACAATTATTTATCATATAAACACTGAATCTTTCAAGGGTGTATCAGATACTTGTTTATGTATGGGAACACAAGCACCAGCATATAGCAAAATGGGTAGAAAAATTAAGTTTATTGCAAGCGATTAGTTTACATTATTAAATGGAAAGAAAAATTCTGAATACGTCTAAACATCAAGAATAACTTCTGAAACCTCCTCCCACAATCAGACAACATTAACGACAAATTATATACACCAGTCTCTGTCCCTTTACATGAATATATATATATATATGGAAATATTTTTCATGTATTTCTAATAGTATATATATATCCGTGTGTACAGAGCATTCGGCTGAAGAGTTCTGCCGAAATTTGATGAATTCGTTGATTCCTGCTTTATCAACCTTTGTCGCTTGTTTTAAACTCTGACCGGGAAATAGACGTTTCCAACTATCATTACTGTGTTAAGGGCCTACTGTTTTTATCAATATTCTGTGTATGGTGTAAGTTGAACCTGCACATTTTAGCTACTCAACTGGTAACACTTACATAGATTTATTCTCCATAGAAATATTAAGTGCATGAATATTACCAGCATTACAGATGGAGTTCACTTAGACAGAAATTCCCCGACAAAAGTGGAAAAGACCACAGTAGTGCTCATAACTAATTATCGTGTTCAGCAATACATAGCGTTAGTTGGTGACATTTAACTCCCAAGGTACAGTTTACATAAATGTACCGAAATTTGAGGAAATACTTACACGGATCATGTTATCAGTAAATAATGCTAAAATAACAATAGGGAAAGAATTATCACTGGATAAAGGAAACATTTTGGTCAAAATAGTAATCAAATAATAGAAAACAGTGACCGATATTGATGGAAAAATTATCTGCCCGATGATTCATAATAATCGCATTTTGCTTCTGCACATATTTTGGGCGACATGTTCCCGCAAGGTTTAAGAGTGTGAAGTATTCCCATGCCATGAATTATAAGTCAGTCTGAACGAATAATATTTTTTTCGATAAATTCTCTTCAAGTTCTAACAGTTATAAAATAGAATATTTATCATTGCAATAATAGCCATTTATGCGGTGATTACATGTTTACGTGGAATGACAGACTCGCTTTAAGGTAACAAAATGAAGAGCATTTGTAGGCTGGGCTGAATGCAACTACAAAACATTGTGAAATGTGACACGATAATGGTGATTAGTCATAAAATATTAAGGAAGAAAAATTGACAAGTCAGTTCAGAGTTGTAAAAGGTGTTAGGTAAGTGGCCAGTGCAAAATAGAATGCACTGAGGAGGAGGAGATAGTAAGGCTGTGGTGAACAGTTTATCATGAAGTAGATAACAGGTGGAGTAATATATTAAGAAAACAGCGTCATCTGTGCCGCATGTAGTTGAGACCATACTGTTGACATAAGTGAAAGAAATAACTTCCTTCAGATTTCTTCTGCTGATAATGATTGGTGTTTGTTATTGTTGGTTCGGTAGCTTCATCACCTCTGTCTCCTTTATCTTAACCTGCAGTTCTATATAGGCTGCTTTTTCCGCCAACTTATTGGTTTTCGTTCCGACTTTTTAACAAGGTATGGATAAAGAGTACATTCAAGCCCCCCAAACTCTCATTAAAGCAAATCCTGCAAGGATTGTGAAGTCACATCAGAGTAGTAGCCCCAAGTGAATTAGACTGGCGGAGTACAAAATCCTAGCGAAATCTAGACGAGATTAGTTGATTCGGTTAAAGTCAGGAATTCAGAAAAAACTTATTTATAGCATTATATGCAGTTACATACCACCATACAACAGAATAGAACAAGGTGACAGTAATAAAATCGAATGTGACAGAGCGGAGGAAGAGATTCATAACTAAAACTTCATCGAGTCAAACGAGAACACATGGAGTAGGAATGACTAAACATATATCCCAGACATCTGGAAAACCCTCCCACCCGCAAAACAAATAAGAAAGAAGGATAAAAACTGCAAAAATCAAGTTTCGAAGTTATTTAGTTACAAATGATACGGTTATAAACAATAAGCTGTTTTTATTGCCAGTTCGTCAATCTGCAGATCCATTATTTCATTAAACCATTAAGTCAAGTATTATCCTAATCCTTAGAAAACTTTAGAAATATTAGTAAAAATCTCAATGTTTAAAATAATATGCTTTCTAAAGCTTTCATTATAAAGTAAATGCTGATGAATACGATTAGTCAGATGATGCAAACTTAACAATCAATTATCAAGTCTAACAGATATTGAAGTAGTCATTTTCGATTTCTTTCAGTATTTTGCAGGGTAGAAATCATCAGATTTCCAACTGTACTCGAGATTTATTATTAATTAACTTGACATTTTGATTTCAAATACTGTCGATAAGTCGCATTTAGATCTAAGGGAAGACAACTGCTGTTGTACAAAAAAAAATGGATTCTGAAGTTGCAAACAGAAGACAAAGGTTCACTGGTTTGATTTCACCTACTTCACAAATCGCCAAGATCACGAAAATCCCGGTCAACTAATTTCATTTAACAGTAAAGACATCTTTGTATAACCTAAAAGTCATCCACTTTTATAATTTAGGAATCAATAAAAATCATTAATTTCAAACCGAAAGCTAGATAGAACTTATTCAAACGATTGTTCAACAAACAACGATAAAGAATCGAATATTATAAAAAAGTAACTATTTTGTGTTGCATAATGTTCATGTTTTCTCAATTGTTGGTTTGCGAGAATTTGTTTGGTTTCAAAGCAGATTCCAAACTGATATTAGTTGGAAAACCTTTAGAAACCAAGATGTTTTTTTTCCTTCACGTCCCCCAGTGGAACATAGGGCATCAAGCCGATGGCTTGAAGTTTTTGTAGCAGTGTTTATTTTACAGGATGGGGTTGCTAGCCTCATGCCCAACCTTTCCTCTTCACCAGCATTGTTTGTGGCTTAGCGAAGTAAAGGAGTGCGTCGGCCAGGGATCGAACTCTGGACCATGTGTATGGTCGGCGAGCGTCCTAACCACTATGCCACCGACGGACTAAGATGTACTGGACAAACCAAGATGTAATGGGCAGTTATTTCTTCCCAGTTTAGGACCTCTTGAAGGATGAAACGAAGGACCTTGGACCTTCAAGTCGAAGAGCAAACAATGCCAGTGTGTAACGAAAACACTTTAAACTAATTTTGGTATTACTTTGAGAAATGAACAACAAAATAAAACACAGAAATAAACATTTATAACTTACCATTAGGCGCATCCACATGAACAAAAGCTGAATCGTCTTCAACTTCCAATACTGAGTAAAACTGTCATTTGCAAATAAAATGAAAGTAAAAATACAAAAGTTTTTAAGATATCATACTGTTAAAAAGTTTTCGATCTTCCATGAATAATATTAGGTTTTACTCGCAACAGTTATCAATAAGCTTGTTCACTAGACTACACACACCACTTCTATCGTAATCTCAGTCTTTTCAACGGAATTCTACTCTGTTGAACGGGAATTTACTCTTTACTCTTTTCAAGGTTTCAGGAGAAGAAAGCAGAGTCAATATTGAAATACTGTGATTTTGAAGTGAGAAATCGATTACTTTAAAACGGTTACAAAATCCAGATTGGGTAAGGGAATTTGCCCTTCACTTAGAGAAACACCAACTTATTTCCTAGTAAAATTATGACAGTGCATTGAAAGAATTGGTCGACAGGGGACATCCTTTCTTCTTGTATCCCTAGAGAGACTGGATTACTTACTGTTTGAAATCCACTGATAAAAAGAGTAAGTTTGACTGACATTTTTTGACAAATCACTATGGCGATAATAATAAGTCTAGGATGTATCAATAATACATTACATTTCTGTCGAGTTTTGATTATTAATACTTGTTACACACAGTTTCACTGAAATTACCAATGAGTCAGCTTTCGCTGCCAACCAACAAGGAGTGAAAAACCAATCAAAAGCAAGATAGGGAACCAGGAGATTAATTAGTCTGACTTACTATCAGCGTACAACTGAACTGAAAAATATCTCACGATATGAAACAAACGTTAATGTTAAACTGAGGAGTTAAAACTTTCCGATATGAAACAACTACAACAGGACATAAACACTTTCTAATGCTCAAGATTTTTCGTACGTGCCTACTTCTTCGAATTTAAAGCTAACCTATACTTTGACAAAGCTATTAGCATTAAATAGCGAAACGTCAGTAAAAATAATATCGTTTTGTTTTTCATTCATTGGGAAATACAAAAAAAACCTTTATTATAATGGCTAACCTATATTCATTGAACATTCCACAATTCCTAATACAAAGTGCATTCACTGGTAAGTGACAGATTAACATCCAAAGTAATACTTGGAAGATTCCAGTTATTTTTAAGTTAACAGACTATCTGACCCTCTTTAACTTAGGGAACTGATTTTAAATTTCGACGAAATTCATTTAGAAATTAAAAATCACTGAAAGTGAAATAGCTGTCTTTAATGTAAGTATGTTATATTCTGATTTATATCTGGTGGATGATAACTAGCAGTGGAATCCAGGAAAATGAGCATTTCGTCCTATTCAGGACTCGTCATTTGGATGTACCTGCATTCCGCATTGAGTGATAGTGTTCCCCCCCGAGGCTCGAACCCAGTGCCTATAGTCTCAAACTTGATAACCCAAAAGAACCTTCTAATTCAATGCCTAGTAAAATGTCATTGTTATTTTATTGAACAAAATGTTACTTGATAAGTTAGTAGTTATCCCTTGGTATTAATTTCGTACAGGAATATGTGACCTAATAAATCAAAAATTATTTTTTGTGTAGTTGAGTGTAAAAGTCACAAAGTATGACTTGAACATGTCATTCCATAGAAGTCAATCTAAAACTGAGGCCACCATGGTGAGTAATAAATATTATTATTATTATACTCAGTTCAGCTTATAAAACCAATCAGCTGAAACATGGATAAAATGTTTAGTTTATTAACTGAAAACATGGATACAAATTATATTAAAACAATAATGATCAAACAGTCTGGATGGAGCATAATCTTCATAGAAGCTTCAAACGATTCTTTACATTAACAAATTTGAATAAGACAAGAACGACAAATGTACCAGGATGTTAATATCAGCTCTTTTTTATTATTGTTTCGAGTATTCTTCTCTACCCCGACTACCTGCAACCTGAACAATACAAAAAGTATAAATTACATAGAAGATTTGATCATGCTTTTTTCCACAATGATAAGGAGTAATTTGTAGGAATAAAGAGTAACATTAGTCAGGAATGATGCAGATTGTTGAATAATTAAACGTGAAAAGGATGGACCATTTATAGAAGATTTGCATGACTAAGCTTGGGAAGAAAAGGACAGAGTTGAACAGATGTTTTGTGGGTAGACACAAAGTTTAGCTAGAAAGGGTATCAAAAAGAATAGGTTACGTAACCACAGAGAAACGCGTTTATATAAAATAGCCAAAAAAGGGAAGGAAAGGGTAGTATGAGTGATGCTCAGACGAGAAATAAAGTTTTGTAGACAGGGCAGAAGATGACTTAGTAAGATTTGTAAACTTTATTGTCACCATAGCAGTGTAAGATTCACCACTGCCTCTTTCTGCGTACATAGACTTGGTTTTATTGGTTTGATGGCGATTGACTCAGCAAAAGCGTTACAAGCTGGGTTTCTTTTGCCTGTTGATTAGTTTGAACACCTTTAGATTGGCCACAGCATGGCTAGTGTCCAATAGATGGCGTGGAATCGCACTGTTTAATGCGTGTGGTCCGTTTAGTCTCAGGTTGTTTGGTATGTGTTCAGAAATCCGGACAAATTGTAACCAGTTGAGAAGAAATTTCGAGATAATAAATGATGGGCTCATATTATTGCTGATACATTTCTTGTTCTTGCCTTATTTATAATCTTTCTATAGTTTGGTTTGTAAGGATGGTATACGAGCTTGCCTTGTAACCGGAAGGTCCTGGGTTCGAATCCCAGTGGGTGCGTACTGCCGATGATTCCCAAACTAGGATGAAACAGCAGCCGTCCAGTACTCCCTGGTTTTCAATGGTTCTCTAACTGATATCAATCCGTGATCAACTCGTTATTTATAATCATCTTAATCTGAACTCAAACTCTCTACTTTGTACTAAGTTAGAACCAAAGTTTAATAGTATTAGAAGGTTATTTGGAATGATGTTATTATCATTTTTGACATCTTTCACTGCAAGGAGTGTAAGGTGACGCGAAACTAGAAAGTGAAAATTAATGAAATAACGACGATAAATATATAACTCCGTTTATTTTAATTTTACCGGGTATTTATTATTATTAAAATATTTGACACACCGTGCGCGATGTATACTGTACTAAGGTTTAAAAATAATGTTAGAGATAATACTGAGAATAAATCAATGAATATGAAAACTTTCTTATTAAAAATAATTAAGGAGTCAAGCACTGTTATTACATTACTGATAATTAAATAAGCAAAAGGACACTACGGCTACTGACTTTGCTGCAGACTGCTAGCGCTGAACAAGTCTTCATCCGAGCGTACCTATCAACCACAATCAGAGTCCCTGTTAAATGAAAACTAAGCAGCATAATTGAAGACCACTTCTAAAGACACGTAGAATCTGTACAATTATATAGATTTCGCCCGTACATACATACATACATACACATTACACCGAATGTTATAGTGTATAAAGAAAACGTTTGAAAAATTTAAAATATCACGAAAATGCTGTAAAACACATAGCACGAACTCCATTTGTGATGATGAAAGAATTATGCTATTTGAGGTGAATACACTTATTTGAAATTATTTACTATTCCGCTTTAATGAATTCTCGACATTGATTATTTGCATATTTGATGATGCATAATCATAAAATAATTATGCTTAGTCTTGTATTTCCCATAAGTTACCTTGAAAAGGTAAACAACTCGTAATTTATTCTCATTTATTTATCCTTAAGCAGCAAGGAATTCTTTGTTTACTATGACAATTACTAATAATATTAATAGGAAAATCAACAATGACGCAAAGAAACAAAAACGATTCAGCAGAGATTACTGTCATAACATATTAGTAACTCTGATCGACAGCTGTAATTCCCAAACCAGTGCATACTATTGATTTCGTCTACTATAGGACGAGTAAGGCAAAAACACACAGTACATTGTCCATACAGTTATTGGCATGTGATATTTTGCTTGAAATCGAACTTACAAAGCACTAGTAGCACAAGAGAAGTCGCTTGTGAAACAGCACCGAAGATGACACTTGAAATGAGGCCGAAAACTTTCACACAAAGATAAATCGGTTTGGTTTTCAGATAGAGGCGAACCTTCATGAAACCTTCATAATCGGCATAAATTATTTTCTTCTCTTAATAAGACGACAATTTAGTCCAGCAGAAAAATAAGCCAAGTATTTTTTGAATGATCAAAAGAAATTCAGACTGTTGAATACTATACTAGATTACAATTACAAAACATTACAAAGTTGGATTCCATTCTCTGCACCTATTTCACAAAGCACTTATACATCAAGGGAACTCATAACTCCATAGAAATGTAAACCTATATCTTTCTACGGTGAATATAAATGTGTCATAAATAAATCATTCGACTAGCAATCAGTTTCCTGCATGATTGCCCTAGTTACACTGATCAGTTGCTATGTTGTAGTCATTGTCAGTATTTTCTCAAGATAAGTGGTAACCTGATTCTGTCCAGTACACTTCCAATACAGTCGCTAAACAAAATGGGCTGGTAATTTGATGCACTGAGATTTATACTGGATAATTACAATTAGTTAGCAAATAATTTATCGTCAAGGCTAGCCAAGTGTGTTTACAAGACTTTGAGGTGTAAGCTGATCACAATGGATTATGCAAACAGTTTTTTTTAATAGAATTACTCTGGAAAATGACATTAAAGGGTAGGTATGAATATGACTAAATATTATCATAAAGGTTATCAAGCTTCAAATAGATTGTTCTTATCCTGAAGCAAGTGATGCAAAAGTAAATAACGTATCGCATTTATGTGCTTATCTGCTGACCTTCATCTTACTTGCACCTACCAGATTACTACACACATCGTATGTTTTCCTAATGATTTACTGATATCAAATATCACTTAGTATGTCTGTAGTTTTATCTGAGTAGGCATAGATAAACAATGACTCGTCGTTTTAATACAACTTCTGGCTTGAAATCTTTTATAAGGTGAGAAAATATGCCTTCTTTGCATAAAGTGATTAAGACAGCTGCAGCTCAATGAAGAAAGTTATACCACCACATA